CTGTGTTCCGTTGCCTGGTGTTTTGTTTACAATTCAGCCTCTCATAAAAATGCAGGTCAACCCTTGACAAGAACTAAACCGTAAAGTCATCTTTAAAGGTATTTTAGATTAACATATGATTTGTATTGATTGTCACACAGTGGAAAGTTCAGTACTGAGAAACAAATGTAGAGACCATATAGTAAAATTAATTGTGTACTATGGCCTGTCAGTAAAAACTTGAAACTGATATAAATTTTTTATTATTAATGACATATACATGAAATTTAAAAATGTTATGTATATTGACTTTAAAAATATAAAAATGAAATTTAAAGTAAAAAATAATTTTAAGTTTAAAAATTTAAATTAAATTTAAAAAAACAATTAAAAGATAAAAAATTTCCACCAAGTATACACATATATAATATTTTTTGGGAATGATATTAAATGATATCAGCATATATATATATATATATATATATATATATATATATATATATATATATATATATATATATATATACTCCTACACCATATACAAGCTCAAATGATGGATATTTGTCAAATTTGATCAGAGAAAATATCTTTATTAGTCAAAATGAGACCTCATTTAAAATACATGAAGACAAAATTCTATTTTGCTTTGTACCCTTAGGTCATTGAAACTATTTATTTGGGGTTCAAACAGTTAATTTATGTGTTCATGATGGGGTGACTTCCCGAGTAACAAATATCTGCTTGTATAGCTATCAGTAATTGTTTATAACCATAGTTATAGGGTATTTAGTGAGAGGACAGAGATGAAGACTTTATACTAGAACCTGTTCAAGTTCTCTACAAAATCATATTAAGCTGTCAGAGAATGAAATACAGGTCAGAGGGGTAAAATATACTTTACCCAGGTATATTTACCATTGCATATAAGAAAACAGCAAAATGATGTAAGTTGAACACAGAATGCATTCCATTTTATTGTTCGGTTTCTTTAAGATGTTGATTGATGTAGTGCGACATTGTAGCCCAAATAATATTATAGAAATTCTCATGATCCATTTTGCTTTATGCATTATTAATGACTAATAATATTTGTTATCTGACACTTTAAAGATTACATAAGTAATATTCAAACAGATTATTTGAATTTAACTTTCTACAACTGATCCTAACATGGTTACATAGCTGACATGAACAAATATGCATATATTTTGTAATGTTTGGAATCAAAAGTTGACATTGGTAGGCTAACATGGTACCTATAGTAAATCTGTAAGGCTCAGTTTTGACTGTGTGCACTTAAAATATCCCAAGATGTTATTTTCATCATGAATATGCCTCTGTTTGGTAACACATTTCAATATAGTACTTTGACAGAGGGCGGTATTGCAGCATCAGCTGAAATTTGATTCCATTGAATCATTGAATCATTGAACTTAATAACTTGGTAGCCAAGACTCTTAAAAACAGACTAAAAATGTTCAAACAGATTATTTGAATCATGTTTGCACATGTGATTTTAACAAGTACATTGCATATGTCCCACATGCAAATATCCATCCTTGTTTACAAGTTTTCAGGATGAAAATTTCACATTTAGTTGATGATATAGGATCTATTGGTACCTATAGATGATCTGTGTGGCCACATTTTGCTATATTCACTCACAATATTTAAAATTGTTTTTCCTTCATGAATAGGATTTCATATAGTAATAAATTTTAATTTGGTACATTGTCATTTGACTTTCCACTATACTGGTATGTATCAATGTTTGCACCAATGATCAAACCTCACCGTGCCAACATTGCCTTAAATTTTATGATACATACTCTACCTGATTAGTTATTTAACCTGTAAATGGCTAAATATGCTTGTAGAAACTTCATCTATTTTTAGGATGAATTTGTCACTTTAATACATACCCATTGCTTCACATCTTTGAGTGTCACTCTATCAAATTTACCTTTTTTAACCATATTTGCAACCTGAATGTTATTTTGAAATCACCATATCTAACACATTTTGACTTCATTTGCCTACATCTTCCTTTTTTTAGAATTAAGTGAAACATGTTATATATTTTCAGGTCTAGTCTGGTATCTGGAACAAAGTATTAGAGTTGGATCAATTTGGAAGCACTCCAGTAGTCCAATGGTGATAGCAAGGTCTCATAAGGACATGTGCAGTGTACAGCTATAAGTGACCAAGATGAGTTCATAACAGTACACTGATATACAGCATCTCAAAGACATGGCTTAGATCTTCATGAGAGAGATTCACATCTTTTTTCAGTAAGGTGAAACTGTATTTTCATATTGCATTGTTGACTTTTGTAGTTATCAGCATTAAAATGGAATGCATATTTGCTATAAAACATGGTAGTGGTCCCATCAAAACTTTAAATTTGAGTGGGCTATTAGTTATACAAACAACTGCCCAAGTACCTAAAACAATAAATGTGGAACATAGCACCAGTCATTGTTTCTTTAGTATGTACACCTATATGCATCTGGATAGGCATATTGCAATTTGCAGTCAAAAATCACTAAGAGCTATCATGATTCAGTACCCCATGGGATTAATATTATCAGTTGTACAGACCTAAACTACCATTTGTTTTAAAGACCATTCATTAATAAACATTGCTGCCTTAAATTTGTCAAACTGAATGTCATAACTTGTATGAAAATTTATTTTTTGTAAAATAAAATGTTTTTAAAATTTATATATTTATTTAAATTTCCATTAAATTTAATATATCAATAGTTTTTAATTTCAAGACTATTTTTAGACAGACCTTATCAAGTATTACAATTAGGTTTTTACTGCATTGAAAAATTCCTATAAATAAGGAAGATATAGCAAATTTAGTTTTGGTTTCTTAAGAACAATTGGACCTCAAATTGCACCCGATAGAACACCAGCACTACACACTTTCTGACAGCTGTCACATGTCTTGCTTGCAAGGAAATTTCAAAAGACTTTATGCATGAAGTTGAAACAGTAGTGGCATGCAAAATAAAATGCAAATATAAAAGTTTGACAAAAACATTGACCCTTTCAGGAATCAGTACACAATTAATAAAATCCGGTTCAGTACCCACGAATGTAGTTCCAGTCTATTTTTAGATCACTTTTTCCGGTCTAAATTTGGTGGTGATACTAGAGTTAGATTTTGGCATTCTTGGTAAGGATTTAAAGGCAATTGATTATTCTTTAAAATGTGAGCTTATGGTGTGGTTGTCTGTGTGTATTTCGGCGACAGTGCACATTGAGTAATAAGGTCATGGTGATGATCCGGAAGTGAAATCTGTGTTCAAATCTGTGTTCCGTTGCCTGGTGTTTTGTTTACAATTCAGCCTCTCATAAAAATGCAGGTCAACCCTTGACAAGAACTAAACCGTAAAGTCATCTTTGAAGGTATTTTAGATTAACATATGATTTGTATTGATTGTCACACAGTGGAAAGTTCAGTACTGAGAAACAAATGTAGAGACCATATAGTAAAATTAATTGTGTACTATGGCCCTTTGCCGCGTTGGCCTAGTCTGGACTCGAACTCTCGCAGACGGACGTGAGATGGCAGTGATCCGTAACGGTGAGCGATTTAGACCACTGGGCCACCTTACATAAAGGTATATAGAATCAAATCCTTAAAAATTACACCCATTACTGAAATATTCGGTGTTGAATTCCTTACATGACCTTACGATAGCCCCTGTGATTACAGGCGGGCGCTCAGATACTATTACTGTGTAGTCTGACGTAGTTTATTATAACATCAGCGTGTTTATAGATAGTGGAATATTCCAGATAGACTACAAAGAAAATTTTTAAAAAATATATATATACGCTAAAATGTGGATGTATAAGAAGCCTAACATCACACAACGACAGAAATGTGTATGTATATTTATAAATATAATATATACATACACAATAATGTGGTTGTGCGTGTAGAATGTTCCAGGCCCCTCTGGCTGAAAATAGAAAGTATTATAATGGATATTTCCAAACATAAATTAAAAATTAACCTTTAAAACTGGCGTGAGATATTCTGCAACACCTAGTGCTCTGCCTTTGACTGCATTGATAACGTTTTGCATTTTTTACGCCTTCCGAATTTTATGACTGAAGTCGACGTTATACTGATATCGTCAGCTGTAACACCTCCAATTGCACCTTAAGTAAAGAGTTACAAAGGGGAAACAACTTTAATTCTACGCGGTGTTAAAGGTGGCGCTCACCAGTTATTATGTACTTTTGAGAGTGATGTATGTAAGGTGAAGTTGTTTGCAGTTTAAACATGCATAGTGGAGAGAATGTTCACATACTGATATACTACTTTCATGTAATGTGGTTGAAAATTCTTTGGATATTGTACTTTTGGAAATTTTAAATGATCTTAGAACACTGATAACTAAAATGACTGCTCCCTTGTGCTCCAAAAATCAACCTGAATTTGCATTCAGAAATAAACAACAAAACAAGCTGTGATTGGTGCATTATGTAAGAGTTGTACTTTCTGTTAGGCTTTAAGAAAAGTTGAGCCTCTTAGCAACGTGCTAAATTATTTTAATTCATATCTAGATCACATTTTGTATTTTTTAAGATTTTTTTTTTAAAAAAAATGTGGTACACATGACTGAAAATGTGTCTGGTGTAACTAGAAAACTCTGACCCCTGTCTAGTTCCAGCAGAGTTATCTCTCTTAAATGCAATAGAGTAACTATTTTCGATGTTATCAAATTAACAATCTAACATTGTTCTCTGTGACAGTGTGTGACATGCATGCTGAGGTAGGATAGAAAGTATATTTATTTCGCAAAACATTAGCATTGTGATCAATGGAAAAACAATTGGCACCGTTATACTAAATAGGCACATGAACATAAAATCTCCAAAGAAGATATTTTAAACAGAGGAAGAATACACTGACACCATGCCGACCTAACACTAACCTCTTAATGCTGAGCGTCAAGCGAAGCAGCTGTTAGTACCATTTTTGCAAGTCTTTGGTATGACTCGCCCGGGGCTCGAACCCACGACCTCCCGCATCCGAGGCAGACGCTCTAACCACTAGGCCACTGGAGCGGTCTAAAAATTGGGAAACAATCATCAGCTTTTTTCAAGCTTTCTTCTCGTTGACAATAATATTTACTTTTATATTATGTTTAATGTCATTAATGAATGCATTATATTGCAAACATTGAAACATGCTAATTAGGTATAAACAAATTTTTTAAAAAGTTTGTATAATATTGTATTTAGGTCAGACAGTAACTTATAAGCATTTATAGCTGAAACATGTTATTGTTATTTTGCAATCAACACATTTAAAAAAGTATAATCACGATGGCATTGATGGAGCGATGGGGGGTAGGGTAACAAAATTTTAATTTCAGATTTGGTGGTATATGCTTATAATCGTCAAATTCGAGTACCTAAGATGTAACAGCTTAAAGCGAAGATAAAAGTGTTGAGGAAAATCTCGTGGTTGTAATTATATACTTATTGACAGTCTTGAATGACATTTTATGATGAGTTTAAATCGAATATCTTATCAAATTGATGTGTATAGAATAAATCAAGAATTGTATTACGAGTCCATTATTTGCGCAAGCATGTTATCGATGCGCCACATACATCACATAAAAATTTTCGTGAAAACTTTACAGACATATTTATCCTGAAGTAGAAGTAGTAGTTGTTGTATGAGCATATATGCCGTCATACAGGAATTAGCATTAACAGGCTGGTTAACGTACAGGAGCCTCTCCGTGGTCTTGTTAGAGACTACTTTAAAATTTATCATGCATTCAATAAGGCGATAGGATTACAGAGTGAGAGGTATTTATAGGGTCAAAAGTATGTATGGGGTCAAATGTGCTCATGGAATAAAAAGTGATTATGAAGTCAAACCGGAATGGTCATGCTAAAAGTTTCTTTTTAAATCCAGCACACACACACACACACACACACACACACACACACACACACACACACACACACTACAATCCAACACTCGCTTTATTATTATCATAACATGCACTACTACAATCGAGCATCCGCATTTTGTTTACTATTTAATCCCCACCCATCATATAATAACGGAAAGGATAGGAGCATTTATAAATGCACCCTATAGTTTCGTACATATAAACATATTATAACACGGAAGGATAGGAAGTGTTTATAGACACAATTTAAAAATCCTTATATACGAGTATATTATCACACAGAAGAGAAAATGGATAAAGGAGTTAAAGCTGTCAACACCATAGACATATAAACACCTACATGCGCAAAGCATACAACACGTTGTCGTATAAGCAGGATTGGAGTATCTAATTTTTAGAGAAGTGTGTGACCCTGAAAATGGTCGTTGTTTCTTTTCAACTACTCTCCTTAGTGTTTGCAACTCCCGGGTCAGATGCCGCAGGCCGTATATCTTTGCACCTATTTTTTCCATTCTTCCTCCAACTATGTTTGTGTGGACGGCTAGATTTAAACTTAGGTAGATGGCTTTCTTCTCCTGCTCTTCATTCTACTCAGGGATTCAATATGGATAGCCAAATCAGCGGAATATTTCCTGGATCTTCATCCAATTCTTGTTCAGTCTTTGAAAGTCCTCCTCTTTCTTATCCTCCTCTTTGAGCCTCCTTTCCTCCAACCAAGTCGTCGCGGTTTTCTCCAGCTCTTCATTCATCACATCTCTGACGAATTCTTCAGCAATTCTCAGAGAGGTGATTTCCCTCTTCAGGTGATTGGTACGGAGGTAGAACTCGAAGTCTTCGACCAGAACCAGTAGGAGCTGTACTGTTTCCATCAAGTTGATGTCTTTCATCAGTTTGCCCACGTTACAATAGTTTATGATGACGATCTTAAATTAAGACGTGTGAGACTTTTATGATATGCACGTATGCTTGCTGTAAGCAAACGTACTCTTTAACTATTCGTCTAACTGGTGCGAATCACCCCTTGAACGCTTTAGTGTGTGCATTTTAACTGAGCTTGTCAAGAAGAGACAACAAAAGAGAAAGAGCGGAGAAGGTCGATACCGCTATATATATATATATATATATATATATATATATATATATATATATATATATATATATATATATATATATATATATCCAATGTTGAGAATTTTATACTTTTCCCAAAATGTAATGATGGATACCGACTTTTGAATATCGGAATTAACTCTGTACTTACGGATGATTGGTTAGCACGTTTATATGAGAAAAAAATTATATTGCATATCGGATCATGATCAGGCTGTCAATATTACCAACGTTCCTAAATTTGAAAGTAACTGCATTTTTATGTTGGGTTCTTTGGTAGTTTTGATTTTGTTCTGACAGTGTCACCTTGTATGTCTGGACGTGATGGTTTGGATTACTCACCACCTTAACTTATGGAACATAATCTCCGTCATAATTATTTGCATGTATTTTAGTACTATGCATGCATGCATGCATTATTATTATTATTATTATTATTATTAGTAGTAGTAGTAGTAGTAGTAGTAGTAGTAGTAGTAGTAGTAGTAGTAGTAGTAGTATATGCAGTATACTGCATTAATTCTTTGTGGAATACTCTAATTTGTATTCTATTTTGCATTTTTATGTGTGTAGAATGCACATACTAGACGACATCATATTACATTTGCTTCTTAGGTATGACATTACAACATTGCGGTTTTGTGTCTTCAGATTCCGTAAGAATTATTCTATGTGCATTTTTAATATAACACAATATCAAATTCTTATTTGTGTCGTTCCAGCTCTGACTTGCCTTTTTTTTTTCAAATGGTAGATTTTGGTAACACGCGTTGACATGCTGGAAGTTACATTGTTGTGTGATGAAAGTTGCAAGTTGGCCGTTATCAAGACGCAGTATAGGTTAATGTCCCATTATGACAACAGAGGGCGAGGTGTTCTATAAAAAAAATAGTGACTTGGTTAAGTAGAACGTACAGTCTGGTTCCCTGCTCAGTATGCTCCCTGAGTCACACTCAGTCATACTATAGTATATTATAGTATAGCATAGCATAGCATAGCATAGCATAGCATAGCATAGCATAGCATAGCATAGTATAGTATAGTATAGTATAGTATAGTATAGTATAGTATAGTATAGTATAGTATAGTATAGTATAGTGAAGTGCAACGCAGGAAGCAAACAAAGCAGGGAACCAGACTAAAGGAATAGCGGTATTAATTCATTCCCCATAGTAAACCTATCTATGCAAACACCATGATTATTAAAAATTCAATAACTTAAAAAATTTTGAGTGCTCATGACCAAACCTATATTTATCACTATAGATGAAATCTGGAAGTCAGCTGCTGTGCAGAGGAAAGGATATGAGCCGCGGCATTTTCTAGACCTGCATATGTTTGAAACACGTGCTTTCAATTCCGCAACAAAGAGTCAGGTGCTAATTTTAGTAATGAGGGTTCCAAAGTCAAGACTATTAAAAGAATGAAATTCCATCAATAAAACAATGTCACTATTTTTTTTATTTACTTTCAACTGGGATAAGGTCTCAAAAGATTCCTTTTCCTAAGACATAGCTTACATTATTAACCAATCCAGGTCAACCAAACCCATGTATACACCCATGTTTAGGCTGGTTCCCATTTTTCAATACTGTTAATAGTGTGTCCTATACGGCCATAGAACACAATTAAGTTTACTATATAGTCTCTACATTTGTTTGTCAGTACTGAACTTTCCACTGTGTGACAATCAATACAAATCATATGTTAATCTAAAATACCTTCAAAGATGACTTTACAGTAAAGTTCTTGTCAAGGGTTGACCTGCATTTTTTTTGAGAGGCTGAATTGTAAACAAAACACCATGCAACAGAACACAGATTTCACTTCCGGATCATCACCATGACCTTATTACTCAATGTTCACTGTAGCCGAAATACACACAGACGACCACACCATAAGCTCACATTCTAAAGAATAAACAATTGCCTTTAAATCCTTACCAAGAATGCCAAAATCTAACTCTTGTATCACCACCAAATAGAGACAGGAAAAAGTGATCTAAAAATAGACAGGGGGCTGCATTCATGGGTACTGAACCGGATTATATTAATTGTGTACTGATGCCTGAAAGGGTCAATGTTTTTGTCAAACTTTTATATTTGCATTTTAGTTTGCATGCCACTACTATTTCAACTTCATGCAAAAAGTCTTTTGAAGTTTCCTTGCAAGCAAGACATGTGACAGCTGTCAGAAAGTGTGTAGTGCTGGTGTTCTATTGGGTGCAATTTGAGGTCCAATTGTTCTTAAGAAACCAAAACTAAATTTGCTATATCTTCCTTAATTATAGGAATTTTTCAATGAAGTAAAAACCTAATTGTAATATGTGATAAGGTCTGTCCGAAAATATGCTTGAAATGAAAAAATATTGATATATTAAATTTTAATGGAAATTTAAATAAATATTTAAATTTTAAAACTATTTATTTTTTAAAAAATTTCATACAAGTTATAACATTCAGTTTGATAAATTTAAGGCAGCAAAGTTGATTAATGAATGGTATTTAAAACAAATGGTATTTGGGTCTGTGCAACTGATAATATTATTCCCAGGGGTACTGAAGCATGATAGCTCACAGTGATTTTGACTGCAAATTGCAATATGCCTATCCAGATGCATATAGGTGTCAAGAAACAATGACAAGTGCTATGTTCCACATTTATTGTTTCAGGTACTTGGACAGTTGTTTGTATAACTAATAGACCACACAAATTTAAAGTTTTGATGGAACCACTACCATGTTTTATAGCAAATATGCATTCAATTTTAATGTCGATAACTACAAAAGTCAACAATGCAATATGAAAATACAGTTTCAGAAAGGTTCCACCTTACTGAAAAATGATGCGAATCTCTCCCATGAACATCTAAGCCATGTCTTTGAGATGCTGTATGTCAGTGTACTGATATCAAGTCATCTTGGTCACTTATAGCAGCACACTGCACATGTCCTTATGAGACCTTGCTATCCCCATTGGACTACTGGAGAGCTTCCAAATTGATCAAACTCTAATACTTTGTTCCAGA